GAAATTTTCCTCCACCCTTTGCTTAGACCTCTTTAATCTCGATGTTTAAACTTTTTTTTGTTTAATTTTATTTTTCCTGTGTTGTTGTTTTGGAGAGGGGGAGCGGGGCCTGCAGGGACGATTTTGGCTCCTGGGCCTTGGCAGGTTTGGATATTTGGGATATTTGGAATTTTTCTGGGGGGGAGGGTTTGGGTGGGAAATTACCCAGTGGAAAAGCGGATTTATCCTTTTTTTATTTATTTATTATTTTTCCTGAAAAAATCGGATTTATCCTTTTGGGAAAAGGACAAATCCGTGCCCTGAAGGCTGGGAAGGATTCGGGTGGGTCTGGAGCAGGGAGGAATTTCCTGCTGGATCTTTTTGGGGTTTTGTGGGTGCCAAAAAACCCCAAACCTCGGCTGGCGGATCCTCCTCCTTCCCAACATCTGGAAAACCACGGGTGACAATCCAGATGTGACTCGGCAACGACGCATTCCGACCCACCCCAAACAAACTCCAGAAACAAATTAATGCCAAAACCACCAAAAAAACCACGCTCAGATTTTGTGCTTAACACCCCAAAAACCGCCAAAAAACTCAACCCCGACACCCCCAAAACGCCAAAAAAACCCCCCCAAAACTCGTTTTTTTGTCGTTTTTTGTCGTTTTTTTGTCGTTTTTTCATGGTTTTTTTTTTGTTTTTCCCCTCCTCTCACAGATGGGTGAGCTTGGGCGCCTCTTGGATCCTGCCCTGAGGAGCCGCATGCTGCGCGGCGAGCTCGCCGTAGGCGCCGTGGCCGTCGCAGGGTCCGTGGGGCTGGCCCGACGCGACCCCTCCGTAGTCCAAATGGTTGAGGCCGTAAAGAGCCGGGCCCGAGGTCGCCAGAGAATCCACAAAGTTGCCCCCAACGTAAGCGGGGCTGCCCTGGGCGTCGTAGCCGGCGCCGTTGGCCTGCAGGACGTGCTGGGCCTCGTAGTCGCCGGCGTCGGCGGCGCCTCCGTATTTTTGCGGGCAACCTTTGAGCGGGGCCCGGTAGCCGCCGGCGGCCACGGCGTAGGCGTTGGGGTGGGGTTTGCCGAAGGAAGGCGGCGACGGCGCCTCGTAGGCGCCGCTCACGGGGTGCAAAGCGTTGAGGAAAGCGGCCGAGGCCTGCGCGGCCTGCGGGGGGCTACCGGCCGGAGAAGGCCCCGCCGAGGAAGAAGCGACGCCTTTGGATTTCTGATCCTTTTTGTATTTCATCCTCCGGTTCTGGAACCAGATCTTGATCTGGCGCTCGCTGAGGTTCAGCAGGTTGGCCATCTCCACCCTGCGAGGCCGGCACAGGTAGCGGTTGAAGTGGAATTCCTTCTCCAGCTCCACCAGCTGCGCGCTGGTGTAAGCCGTGCGCGCCCTCTTGGAGGCCGACGAGCCCGGCGGGCTTTTCTCGCCGCACGTTTCTGTCGTGACCCGGAGCCGGGATGGAAATAAAAAGGGAATTACTTACAGGGAGAAATGGAGCTGGGCTGGGATTTTAATAAATCCTCCTCCTCCTCCTCCTCCTCCCCTCGGCCTGCGCTCCGTAACGTTTATTAAGAGCTCTGCTCTCCGAAGCTGCCCCCGCTTTATGAAAATTGGATCATGTCATGTAGGGCCCTTTATTGAGGAGCCCGTTATTTCCCGACCATAATTTCACAGAAAATAACGTTTGGCAGGGATGTGGGGGGTGGAGAGGCGGCCGACGCTGCCCGGCCGATTAACGCCCGGCCAATTAATTAATGCCGGGGTCAATTAATTAATGCGGGGCCGATTAATGCGGGGTTGGGTTTTGCACGCAGGTGCGTCGCCAATATTTACCTGTGCACCCACTTTTTTTGGAGAGGTCAACGCCAAAAATTAAGCCAAAATCGCCCCAAATCCGAACGGGATTTTGGGGATTTTGGGGATTTTGGGATTTTTGGGGTTTTGGGATTTTGGGATTTTGGGATTTTGGGGATTTGGGGGATTTTGGGATTTTGGGGGTTTTTGGGATTTTGGGATTTTGGGGATTTTGGGGATTTTGGGGATTTTTGGATTTGGGGATTTTGGGGATTTTGGGATTTTTGGGATTTTTGGGATATTTGGGATTTTGGGGATTTTTGTCTGGGATTTGAGGAGAAGACACAGGTGGTGCTGCACCTGCTCCCTCTGAGAGGTGGGAAGGGACCAATCAGGATTTTAGGAGCAGCTGGGGACGCATTTTCCCCATTTTGGCTTGGAAATAAAGGTGCCCAGTGCCGGGATCCCGTCAGGAAGTTCATGGGATCCTCTCCTCATCCCCCAAACCCTCAAATAAATCCCGGGACTCTCCCGCTCCTGAGACTTCCTTTCAGCACAGGAAGAAGGGAAATGTTCCCACCTGGAAACTCAGAATTTGCCCCTTTGGAATTCTGGGCAGGAAAAAGTGGAATTCGGACCTTCCCTAAACCAATTTCCCCAACCCTTGGTGATTCTTTGGAATTCTGGGCAGGAAAAAGTGGAATTCGGACCTTCCCTAAACCCATTCCTCAAACCCTTGGCGCTTTTTAGACCTTTCTTTGGAATTTTGTGGGTTAAATCCGGAATTTGGACCTTCCCTAAACTGATCCCGCCAACCCTTCATGATTCTCTGGAATTCCAGGAGGGAAAATTTGAAATTTGAGCCTTCTCTAAACCAATTCCTCCAACCCTTGGCGCTTTTTAGACCTCTCTTTGGAATTCTGCGCGGGAAAAATGGAATTTGGACCTTCTCTAAACCCATTCCTCCAACTTTTGTGATTGTCTGGAATTCTAGGAGGGAAAAACGAAATTTGGGTGTTCCTTAATCAGATTTCTGTAATCCTTTGCAGTTTTTAGATCTCCTTTTTGGAATTCTGGGCAGGAAAAGTGGAATTTTGTCCTTCCCTAAACTGATCCCCCCAGTCCTTTGCGATTCTTAGACCTCTCTTTGGAATTCTGGGCAGGAAAAGCAGAATTTGGGCCCTCTCTAAACCGATTTCTCCAACCTGTTGCGATTCTTTGGAATTTTGGGCAGGAAAAGCGGAATTCGAGCCTTCCCTAAACCCGATCCTTCCAACCCTTGGGGGCTTCTTAGACCTCTCTTAGGAATTCCCGAGTGAAAAAAAAAAACAAACACCAAAAAACCAGAATTTGGACCATCCCTAAAAACCGACCCCTCCAACCCTTGGCAATTCTCTTTCACTGATATTTTTTTGTTTGTTTGTTTGTTCGATTTTTGGTTTTTTGGGTTTTTTTGGAGGTTTCGCAGCCCTGTCCAGCTACCTGCCCCGGGCGAGCCGTTCTTCTGCTTGGAATTCTGCCTCGACTCCTTCATCCAGGGGAAGATCTGCTTGGAAATCCCCAAATTCCCTTTGCCGGCCGCGCTTTTCCCCCCTCCGCCGTTCCCCTCGTCGTCGTCGCCGCCGTCGCCGTCGTCGGGCGATCCCGGCGGCTCCGGCGCCAAACGGGGCCTGGCGCAGCTCCCGTTGAGCTCCTTATTTTTGGAATTGTTGCCCAGAGACTGCAGGGAGCAGGAGGATCTCTGGAAGTCGCCATCCTCGTGGGGAGCAGCCTGGAAGGGCGGCTGGGCTCCCTCGTAGGCGAATCCGTTGCCGTAGGAGTAAGCCCCGAAGAGCGCCGAGCCGTCGTAGTACGACGCCTTCTGCATCTTCTTTTTTGGCTACCGGGGTCTTGACACCCCTCTGGCAGCACATTGGCACCCCGAGGCCACGGGATGGCCCCTCGGCAGCTGCAGGGTGCGAGCTGACCTGAAAGGTTAGGAAAGAAAACACAAATAATAGCGGCGGGCGCGGGGATCCATCTTGGGGCCTGAAAAGCGGCGTGACATGAATAGGGTCCCGCCGAACGCGGGGGGAGCAGATGCTGCCGCAGCGTTTCACCCTCTGCAGGCTCCAGACATTCGGGTTTGGGGGAGTTTTGGGGTGGTTTTGTGGGGTTTTTTTTTTTTTTTTTTTTTTTCTCCTCCCTCTCCCCTTGGTTTTTGCTCCGTTGCGTGGGATTGCGGCTACATATTTATTAGTTTTGGTTACTATTATTATTGCCCTTATTTTTAATCTTATTATTCTTATCATTATTCTTTTTCTTGTCATCATTCTTATTCTTAATCTTATCATTATTCTTAATCTTAATCTTATAATTATTCTTATTCTTATCATTATTCTTATTATTCTAATTCCTTATTCTTATTAATAATCTTATTCTTATTCTTAATCTTATTCTTATTCTTAATCTTACTCTTAGTCTTAGTCTTAGTCTTATCCTTATCATTATTCTTATTCTTATCATTATTCTTAATCTCTTAATCTTCTTCTTATTAGTATTATCATTATCATCGTTGCCATTATTATTATCACCTCTATTTTTAATATTATTATTATTAATATTATCATTTCTATTTTGATTTCTATTATCACTTCAATTTTTATTTCAATTATCATTTCTATTTTGATTTCTATTATTTTTGCGACTCCTGTATTTACCCCCAAGCACAAACCCGCTCCTCCCCCCTTTACCCCAAACCCCGAATTACCCCAAACCCGAGACCCCCGGACCCGGAACCGCCCCCGGCCCGGCCCCGGCCCCGGCTCGGGGTTTCCATTTCCCCACCCCGGAGCGGCCCCGGCACAAATCCCGGGTTTATCTCCAGGCCTGGCCCGGCTCTCTTTGGTTTTCAGCTGCAAAATTTGAAGATTTGTGGGGTTTTTTTTTCTCCAGGTACCGCTGTCCTGGCACACTTGGCTCCCTTTTATTTTATTTTATTATTTTATTTTATTTTATTTTATTTTATTTTATTTTATTTTATTTTATTTTATTTTATTCTATTCTATTCTATTCTATTCTATTCTATTCTATTCTATTCTATTATTTTATTTTATTCTATTTTATTTTGGTATTTTATTTTATTTTATTTTATTTTAGTATTTTATTCTATTCTATTCTATTCTATTTTAGTATTTTATTTTATTTCATTATTTCATTTCATTTCATTTCATTTCATTTCAATTTATTTTGGGGTTTTTGTTGTTGTTGTTGTTGTTGTTTACACAAAGCTCCTCTGGAATTCCGGGTGAAGATTTCCAGCACGGATTCCAAAATTTGTTTTTTCCCACCCCCGGGCCTGCTCTGAGTCTCCACCAGCACAGGTTGAATTCCAAAAATAAATCCCATTTTTTTTTTAAAATATTTCTCACCCCAAATTTCCACTGGGAAGCTGCCGGTTCCCAAAACCCGCAGGATTTTAATCGCTGTTATTATTATTATTATTAATAATATTATTATTATTATTAATTTTTTAATCTCACTCTCTAGGAAAACAAACATTTCACCGTTTGCTCCTCACTTTCCACTTTTCCATTTTCCTCCCTCCCTCAATCCAAG